GGGCCACTTGGTGCCTTCCTGATTTCCAAGTCGATTCTCTTTCTTCACAGGCTGGGCTCTCACATTTCAGGAAGCTGAGGGGGGCCCGTGCTGGGGGCTGCAGAGTGGCTGGCGAGGGGTCTGTCCCTGGTGCCCTGGGCTGGACTTCTTTGCGCTGTGTGAGTCCATGTGGGAACATGTAATCCAGCTTTCGGAAGCAAGGATAACTGTCATTTTTTGTTGTTTTCTTTACATTCAGAATACAAGAAGTGATTCTTAGAATTTGGAAAAGTTGGACTAGTGGTGATCATTAAAATGTGTTTTTATTCATATTTAAAAATTTTTCATTATCTAATACATGCTAATTTAGAAATGAGTAGCTTCTTGCCAAGAAATACCACGTGAGCCCCTCTAGCACTGCATGAGCCCGTCTCCTGCAGAGGCCAGTCCAGGAGGAGATGCAGGCAACAGGCGAGGAAACCAGATCCCAGAAAGGTTGTGGTTGTTTTGGTTTTTTTGTTTTTAAATTAAACTCACAATTAGACTTTTATCTCTCTGAAATCAAAAGTTAACTCTCTGTCCTGGGGCCACCACCACATCAAGATCCAGAACAGAACCACAGTTCAGTATAAATGGACTGGATCTTCCTTCTTAATTCTTCATGATACCACTGTCCCCCGACAGCTTTCTCCATCCACAAGAACTCTCAGGATAAAGTCCGATACATGCAGCTTGGAAAGCCACCATGCACTCGCAATTCCAGCTCCCCGTCGCCTCCCCCAAATTCAAAGCTAGGGAAGGACAGAGTCTCACTTTGACCAGATCTCCAGCTCTGCCCTCCCCGTCCACATCTGCAAACCAGCCATTTCTCTCCAGCAATCTGCTCAGGGTCGCACCAAACAGAGAAAAGCAAACACAGGAGAAAGCTGTCGGTCTCAGCACTCCTTGAACACACAGTGACTGTTGTTATAATATCCTCAATATTTTTCTTGCTGGAAGCCTTTGGCTAAAATCCAGCTGGGAAGAAGCACTGGTGAGCAGAGCCTTCCAGGCCCCACATGGCATGCATTTATGGATGGACGCCTTATACAGATGTTGTACAAAGCATGTTGAAATTCAGCCGTTATTACAGCCACGGAAACTATAGTTTCCTTTTATGCCATCCTTTTATGATTGAAAATAAA